ATATTTCGCTCTCTCACTTATAATGTAAATGTGAAATTCAGAGGTACATTAACGCCACCAAAATTTAAAACTGAATCTTTCAAACGTTGTTTTGCACATAAAATATGCTTCATATACAACTCTTTACCTCTGAATTTTAAATGCCTATCGTTTACAAAAAACAAATTAAAATACAAGAAATACCTTTTGGAACAATCTTGATTTTTTTCTTCTTTTTTCTAGATAATATATATTTTTTTCTATATAATCTTGAAACATTTATTCATGAAAGGATGTGTAATGATACTGATACTTCGATAAGGTTCAAACGAGGAGAAGTTTCAATGAACACTCTGTTGAACACTTTTGTGAAGCACTCAAATGCGAATCATAGAAAGATGTTACTGAAGCTTGTACAGTAGATAAAGCATTTGAATACTTTTGTGCTGCATTTTTCCATCACTTCAATATATTTTTTTCTATGAAAAAATATTGGGAAAATGGTAATTCACATGACAAGAATTGGGTAACCGATGAAGTGAAATTATCGAGTATAAATCTGAAAGATCTACAATTTTTGAGAAATATGTGCCCAGATGAAGTTCCGTTATTTCTCATCAAGAAATCTCTTCCCTTCATTATAATGCCACTCACTTTTCTTGTTAACCTGTCATTTCTAACTGGATCATTTCTGGAAATATTGAAAGTCAGCAAAGTTGTCCAAATTTTTAAAAAGCATGATCCAGAAAAACTGAAAAACTATAGGCCAATTACGATAAGTCCGGGTTTTCCGAAGATTTTTGAGTACTCTTAGTTAGATAGGTTACTGAAATTCCTAAAAAAACATCGAATATTCTCAAGGTGCGTATTCACCAGGTGCTTTCGACTGTGTCAATCAATATCAACTCATGTCAAAGCTTTGTTCGTATTGTTGCCTATGACTGGACTTTATTGTTTCTGAAGAATAGACAGCAGTTTGTTAGCTTGAACAATCATAGTGAGTCTACTACTACTACCTTTGATTCTGAGCGATATAATTCCTTCTTTATATAAATGAAATCGATGACTTCATCACAGATCCTTTCATAACAATGCACGCTGATGATACATCTTTGGTGGTGTCCAGTAATGTGGATAATCTTCTGTTTGAGAAGTGTAAAAGTACTCTGAAGTCAGTTGTAAATTGGTGCGGAAACAATTCATTGTACCACAATGCTGAAAAAACTCAGTTGATGAGATTCCACAAACGTCAAAGACAGTGCGAAAAAGTACAAATTCAGATATATGATCAAACATTCGACAGTCCAGATGATACAGCATTTCTGGGAGTAACCATAGATGCATGTCTGACTTGGAAAAAACATTGCACCCTCGTGATGAACATTGTGTTACCTTTTCAGAAACCTCAGAAGCATTAAATTAAAGAACTAAGTATTTATGAAAATTAAAATTCATTCATGAAAATGTCCCAGATATAACTGGGTTAGTAAAATGAAACAGGGCTTTGTGTCAATAAACTATCGGGAGTTGTTCACTCAATTTACACACAAAAAAATACTCGATACCAAACGCCTCGATAAATATTTTGACAGACCCTCTAATTCCTGTTTATTTCTATTTCGCCTCAATTATTCAAGAGACCAGTACCTATTAACCTATCTCACTTTTCAAACACCTATTCTTAGAGGATCACAACGTGAAACCAATATTTATGCCATGAGAGGAAGTGTAAAGTCAGCTTACGGACCGCACAGAACTTTTAGCAACACCTGGAGTTTACCGAATTCCAGTTACTACATGTCACAAGGTACTTGCAACAACAGGCGAACAGGTTAGGGGAATGGGCCAACCTGTGGAAGATCAGTATAAACCCTGCCAAGAGTCAGGCGATACTGTTCACTCGCAGGTTTGTACAACCGGAAGACAACGTCACCTTCAACGGACAAGAGATTTCGTGGACTAACAAAGCAACATACCTGGGGGCACCTTAGACAGGAGATTAACATTTCAGTCTCATGTACGGTAGATAATCGGAATGGCCAGACTCGCCAGACAACGGCTGGCACCAATCATAGTTCGCAGAAGCAACATGGGGTTGAAAGTGAAGTTGCTGATGATCAAAACCGTTCTCATGCCCATAATACTGTACGCATGCACTGCTTGGGGCCAGTGCACACAGACATACAGGAAGAGGATACAGTCGATCATGAACGCGAGCGTAAGGGCCGCCGTGAATGCACCGTACTACATCCCCAATAGATTTATATGCAGATACTTAGAACTGGACACGCAATGTGGACGTGCATATGAGAGAACACGCAGAAAGCGTGTTCGATAGAATCAGATCGCACAACATCCCAGCGCTACGCGATCTACACGATGCGTTGAAGATGGCTGACCCCAGGTTCCGAGAAAGGGACAAACACCCAAGGCCGTCGAAACAGAATCTACGACCACCCCCACGAGTCGCCGTTAGGCGACTCCGGTAAGCATATTAATCAGACTTTCTTTCAGCAAAGTTCACCGCAGAAAAACTCGACCGCGATTTAATTATCCTTAGATTCACTGAGGAACGCTCGACGCTAAAACAATAGCCGCCGGTTAGTTTTTGGGGGCCCCCATGCAAAAATTCAGTTAGGAATAGTCATGACAAAACACTTTTACCGATTGCGAAAGAATAGCACCTGAAGGCTGACTTTCGACCAAAAGAGGTCAGATGTCAATCTTGCTGAAGTGCCCATCAGTAAGTTGAGGACCGCTCAGAGAGCGGGGTTGGATGGAGTGGGGTAGTAGGTTCTCCTCGCTAACTAGCTGGGGGAGGGGGAGGCTTCCACTTCAAGGCACTCAACCCGGGAGGGGGCATGGAGGGGGGCTTGTAGTTCGAAAGGAGACTAACGTTCAGATCCCATATATGACAGAGGATAAGGCTGGTGAGAATCGCCAGACAGAACATCAATCCTCAATTATTGGATGCAGGAATTATATGGGTCTCCAAGTGAAACTGCTTCTAATCAAGACCGTTTTACTATCCATCATCCTGTATGCCTCCACTATCTGGTGCCAGTGCGATGCGACATACAAACACAGTATCCAGACGTTCATGAACGCTTGGTTATGAGCTGCCGTAAACGCTCCAAGATATATGCCTAATAGATACATTTGCCGGGACCTGGACCTTAACATCGAGTATGTAGACACATACATAAGAGAACACGCCGAAAACGTATTAGAAAGAATACAAGCACGTGCCAGTCTAGCGCTGCGTGAACTACATGAAGCGCTCAACAGAGACGACCCCAGATTTTGCGAGAGGGATAAACGCACGAGGCCTACGAAGCAGACTCACAGACCACCTCCGAGAGTCGCTGTCAGGTGGCTCCGGTAAGTATAAAAGCTTTATAATTGGAATACTCACACACACACACACACTTAGATAGCGATCAATAGACACTTGTCTCCGGTTAGATTAAGGGATTCCCCATGCAAACATTACATACAGTAAAATCACCACAAACCAAAATCAACAGAAAGCGAGAGTAAAAGCACCTGACGGCTGACTTTAGACCGCAGGAGGTCAAAGTGCCTGAAAAGTGTGCTGAAGTGCCCAGCAGCAGGTTGAGATCTACTCAGGAATGAGTGGGGGGTGCATGGACGAGATTCCACCTTTTGCATACAGAAACCGTGTGGGAAATATTCTATCTCAGGGCACTCAACCTTGGGGTGCATGGAGGGGAGCGAACAACAACTCGATTACCAACTTGAGCACTGTGACCGTTAACACATCGCCTTTGATAATGTCTTCCGCAGTAGTCGAAGTAACGTCAGACATAAAAACCTGCAGACTACAGCCAGAAAACACGGAAAAGAACCTTCTTACAGTTATCACCAGCCGTGAAAGTCAACACTCTTTGATCATCCTATTCACAACATTCGAATAGTAGTTTGAAATTACTCAACATGTGAACATGGAAGATATGTAGATACGATTCCATGGATATCAGGAAAATTTGCTCTATGCACAACATGCATGTTTATCAAACTGCACATCACATTTTATCTGAATGCTCCATGCTTTCCGCCATCAGACTGAATGCTGATTCTTATTCAGAAAGTTGAGAAACATTCATGAAACAGAAGACTCAATCCATGGTTACTGAAAGGTAAACGAGGCTCCCAAAACCGATCAGTTGCAAAACCAATTTTCGACATCGCCCTCTGACTGCAATTCATTCCCTGTTTTTTACTTCAGCTTCCACCGTAAGGCAATGAGATGAAACGAGAGTCCAAAGATGGAGTACGGTGTTTGTTCAAGAAATAAGGTGAATTTTAATATTTCTCAAAAAAATATTCATTCATTCATAAATTTATATTCTGTCCCTTTGCCCCAAAGGCCAAAAAACCCAATATATAGAAATTAACTAGTCCACCTGTACTGTAGAATTGGCGGTTCATATTGGATTATTTTTACTGACAGAGTTTGTGATTGGCTGAAGAGTCATAAAATTAAATTTGAAGTCATGTTACGGTGATGAATAGAAATCGGGGAATGCGGGGACGGTTATCGCCGTCGTGTTCAGTTCAGGAACTGATCGCGCAGTTATATTTTTTTTTTAATCTTTTTAAAATGTGGCGTCCTTGGACAAGTACTAATGGTAATAACGAGTGTGATAAACAACGCAGTTTTTTTCCAATGTAGTAATTCCAATAGCGATAGTGAACAATGTAAAAAAGAGCTACCAGTGAATAAGATTCGGATGCATTTGAATATTGAAACACAGAGAGTATGTTTGAAAACATTTTGGCCCTTTTCATAATCGACGTTTCTGAAGTACGGGCCTTCATTGACATATTTTCAGTATTTCCGTGCAGGTCTACAAAACAAAGAAGACGACAATATTTTCAAAAAAAGAAAAAATAATCATAAATGTACGTTACATTTTGCTTCTATAGCAATAAGCGCACTATTGCGTAAGTAGGTACTGTAATAATATTTCTAAGTGGCAAAAAAATGAGAAACTCACCCATCTATTCCTCTGCTGATCTCCAACGAACTTATTCCTGGAGAACCTTCGCGACCATGCTCAGGCGATGGCATCCTGATTTCATTGAAACTGAAACCATCGTTCACAGGCGACGTTTCGGTCATTTGATCGACACCAGTATTCTCGTACAAATTCTGAAAATCTTGAAAATTTTTTTTATCACTATCCGAAATAACTTTTCCGAAACTTTCCGTTGACTTCTTCCCGTACAGCTGCCGGTAGTATTTTTCTTGATCGCCATACATCCAACACACTTTCCACCATTGTTTGCACATCAAAACGTTCGCGGACGCGCTTGTATTTTCGCGTTTGTAAGCGTTGTTTGACATCGTGGCACTCTGCATATTTCACTAGAACTTCATTTTACGGGTTCACCTGCGATTAAATGTATCCATTAATATCAGGATAAATGAGACGGTGGTGATGCGACAGGTGCTTGGGAACCACTTGCGAAGAATTGTCACGGTTCTCACGGTACTGATATACGGAATGGACATATAACTAATCCTCTGATTTTTAAATTTGCTGGCACAAGCCTCCATTTATGGCAGTATCATTTCGTTGATGCCATTCACCAGATAGTGTTGTGGACAACACATTCGGTAATACTGAATTACGAAAGCGTTGGTGGCCGAGATAATAATAATAATGATAATGAGTTTATTTACAAAATGAAGGTTACTAATATAATATAAAATTTATAAAGTAGCAAGGTAAACAAACAGAGATATCACAAAAAAAATGTTTTGGAAAAATGTTTCTTGTACGTGATTTCGCTTAGTACAAAGTAAAAAATTAATAAATACACAATACATAGATAAATTAGACGAATATAATGAATTAATAAATCAAAATATATAGGTATGACCACGAGCAAGGTAGATAATCTTAAAAATGTAATCAACACTGAGTTGAAAATTAAGCTTTTGATACAAAAAATAAAAGAAGGCAGGACTGAGGTAAACACAGCCGTTTTTCAAACATATTAGTAAATCTTCCGATATGTGATCATAGCATTTTGGGGCAAGGTAGGCAAACGTTTTTTGTGTTGTAGTTTTGCATAAAAGGAAATGTGTGATCAGTTTTCATTTCGTGTTTTATAGTTATGAGTAGGGAGTAGGGAAGTGTTTCGAGATATGATATTTAATACTTGTGATGAAGGAGAATAACTGTCTCAGGTCTGACATCTATGTTTCATAATAAAGTTGGTTGGAAGGATATCTGAGATTGTTAGAGTATATTAGCTTTATGAATCTCATCTGTATTACTTCTAGTTGGTTTATGTGCGTCCAGGACTCCACCCCATGCTAGAATCCCGTAGCGTTCATGGCTTTCTACTAATGCATGGTATAGCGTTCTCATCAGGCATGCAGGTATGTATTTATTAAGTTTTCTGAATTTGAGTAGAATAGTTCTTAGTTTCTTTGAAACATATGTTATGTGGAGATCCCATTTCAAGCGATGGTCAATGACGATTTCAAAGCATTTAATTTTTGGTTGTATGGTAAATTTTTCAGTGGCTCTTTGTATTTTCAATTGTTGGAATACGCATAGTTCAGGAGAGCTACAGCTGAATGGTAAGTAATGAGTCTTGCCTCTGTTGATTGTAAGGAGTTTAGGCTCGAACAATTTTTTTATAACTTCGAAATCGTGTTCGGTTCCAGATTCTCCCACGTATCAGACTTATAAAAGTACAGCTGTGTCATCAGCAGATCCAATTATATCCCCGGAGCATCTCAATCAGAAGAGTCCATTGATCGGTCGGTAGCCAAGCGGTTCGGCGTGGGTGATTTGTTCACTCACTCGAATTGACTGCCGTCGGTGGTTCAAGCCCTAGTCTGAACGATCGATCTTCACTTGCTATCGTCCAACCCGTGTTAGGAATCACACGTTAAAAGGTAAGACCTCGTTAATCCTTAGCTCGCACAAGTTTCGACTTCTGAGGGTTGGCGTTCGTAGGGGTGCGACAGCTGGTTAACGGAAAAACAGATTTTAAACAGATTTTTTAAACAGATATATATTGAAGAGTATAGGCCCTAGAACTGTGCCTTGTGGTACTCCATAATCAATCAGCTTCACGTCACTGAATACACCAATAACATTTACAGACTGAGTTCTATTATTTAGATAGCCTTTAAAAAGCAGACACCAATATATTCCCGATACATTGAAATTATATTTATGAATATGAATATTTTGTTTATGAATTTATGAATAGTTTAATTTGATGGAGATAAATACACATTTGGATACATTGATGAAATAAGCCGATAGTTACTACGTGGTAGGAAATCATCATGAAAAATGAGAATAAATAGTTCATATCATTTTATAGACTTTGTATTTTTAGCTAACGCTAGTATTGATGAGAATGTTGATAATGGTATTTTTCGTCTTTTGCTGTGAACAAGTCCGTGAGGCACACCGACAGTACTGATGAGACATCAGTGTTTCCATACGATTCCGATTCGAAGATTAAAAAGTGCGAAATTTATTGAAACTATTGCAACAAAAATATATTTGAAAAATTCACAAATAAACGATTGCAATAAGACCAATATAATACCTATAGTAGGAGAGCCCACGATGTAAAATGGGGATTTACTCGAGCGTCATAGAGACATATTAGGTTGCAAAGCTTAGATGATAAGAAAGAGAAAATGTTATATAATATATACCTTTTCATTGGTGGGGGAAGCGGCTATAGATTTTTAAATATGTAAGAAAATACTGTTGCATGGACATAATCGAGCGCGTCAGATATTGATAGCATCAATGTCCTACGTATTTTTAATAATGTTCGTATGTTAATCTGATCGTTTGCATGATGCGGGTGGTGAACGTAAGGGTTAAAAGTGAAAAAAAAAAAATCATCACTCGCATCAGATTTTCTAAGGGGGTGTTAAGTGCAACAAAAAAAAAGATCTCATTCAATAATCTGACGATTTCGATCTGACGCAAACTCGCGGCCATTATTAAAATGTGAAAAAAAATTCACCATTTTGAAATACTCAAGCGCGTTAGATTGAGATATATATGGTTCATTTTTATGTTTTAGACGTGCTGTCTCATAATCTGATGATTATCTAGAGGGATTTGCTCAATCGGACAAAAACAATTTTTTTTCAATTAATTGAACTCAATTAATTGGAAAGCTCAGGAAATAGCATGCAAATAAATAAGTGTATGTTTTATAAGTAGAATACTTGTATTTATAAGATATGACAATAAAACGGACAAAACTTTTTACACAACTTGATACAATTGGTGAAGGGAATATTTGAATCTTCTATTTGATATTCACAACTTTGTTTACGCGGTTCGGATCCTCTATATGAAATATTCAACAATTACTGAAACGTATCCATATTTCAAGCTTTCGAACTCTACATGAATTTATCAAAATAGAACTATATTCATATACTCGAACGAATCACTGCATAAAACCTGACACAATTCTCAAAACTACCATTCATAAATTTATTGCTGTGCTAGTAACTATGGTTTTTGCTGCAAATCACGAATATAAGTATCCTCCCCAGGCGAAGATCAGTTACCGTTCCTCAACGATGTAAGTAAAACTCGTTTCGCAATGCTCTCTCACATAGAATAAATATAAATAAAATTTAATGTTATTGCTCGCAGTTTTGTTTTCATTTCTTATGCTGAATATTCAGCAGTGCTGTTCGCAGAGACATAAATTCTATTCGACAGTTTTCTATCGATTATTATACTGTTAGTTCTTATCTGTAACGATGTCTCATCGAATGTAGCACATACATCAGAAATCGACATCAGAAAAGATCGCATTTGGGTGACACGAAAAGAAACTTATTGTGATGTTTTCTTACCAAGATGGTTTATGAAACATGTTAACAAGTATTCAATCGGAACAATAAAATAACGACATTTGTTCGAGAGATATTTTAACACTTCATAAACTTTCGATACACCCCACCACTTCCTTATTGAAATCGAGTGGGATAGTGTCGGACATTTCAAGCGGTAACTGCTCAGCATGCACAATTCTGTGTGGATGTAAAAAGTCCCTACTTCTTTTAACTCCTGAACGGGACAAATTATCAAAGTCGGACAAAATTTACGTAAAGAGGTATTATTTTTATACGTTTTTATTAGAAAGGATTAGAAAATATAACTGGAGTTTTATCCCAACACCAAACCGTTATTTTGAAACCTCGACACGTGTTTCGATCACCAAGTGATCATCTTCAAGAGGAAGATTGAACCATAAATACGTACAATGTTATCCTTATTTATACCATAGATACCTTTTCCAGGTTGCTGCGTCTTAAATGTCTTGAATTAATTCCACAAGATTGCCTTATCTACTACTCTTAAATCAATTTTACGATGTGTCCGTATATAATAGTCAGGTAAATCTGATAATTATTTTAAGAAGCTATATAGATAGTATACTATCAGGTATTTGGTCCACCATCATTATTCATATTTTTATGTTTACTTATTTCTACACTCTTATAGGCATCTATATATCTGGGGCGACTGTCGCCCTTCATATTTCGCAACAAAACCATTCCATAGACTTTAGTTCATGACGATTAGTTAGACAAGTTAACAACAGGCATTTAGATGCCTATGAGAGTGTAGAGATAAGTAAACATAACAATATTACGAATAATAATGGTGGGCCAATACCTAATAGTGTACTATATAGCTTATTGAAATAATTATCAGATACCAGCGAAACAATCAGATTTTCGGCCAAGTTACAGCTGTAGCTCTGCATTGACTGATGTGTCAGATGATGTTCTAACAGGAATGGACGAAAGTGAGGCAACGACCCTGGTACTCACAGACTACACAAAACGTTGGATATGTTGAATCATAGAATTCTATTGGCAATTCTAAATCATATCGGCTTTTCTGTGCGAGCTTGCGATTTGATAAAATCATTCCTAACGAACAGATTAGAGCGAGTAGTGTACAATAATGAGACATCGACAGCAATTACTGTCACCACTGGTGTACCTCAAGGGAGTATTTTGGAACCATTATTTTATGTAATTAATACTGCACAGTTCGTAAAGTCATTAACTCGTTGCAAGTATCATCTCTACACAGACGATACGCAGCTATGCTTTTCATTCAACCCATCAGATACTTCAGCAGCAGAATATTCCCTCAACTATGATCTGCAAAAACTTTTTGAAATACCTATCAAATGAACATTTATTGAAAATCAATTCAAAAAAATCCATGGCTATACTTTTTTGTAATGATAGAATCAGAGAAGAATTGCAGGCATCTTGGAACATTAATATGGCTAATTTATTGTGAAATAAATTTAAGACTCTCAAGGCGCAGGTACCTAGAAGAGGTATATTTGTTATGAA